AAGGTGCCAAAGTCGTGCTGCCTTGGAGCGTCGCATAAAGATGCTACAAGATATATCAACGCTGTTGGATGCGGCTGTCGCGCAAATGCATCAGTATACTTCTATCTTCGGGTATCATTTTGAGCATTTCCTCTGAAGAGAGAGAATTTCCTCCTTCCTTCTCCTTCTGAAGACCGTTATTCTGTATCGAGCGGTAACGTTAGTTGTTTTCTATGCCTACTGCATTCAGTGCCGCACCCTTACCAGTGCCGTTGCCCACTGCAACTGCTTCTGATGCTTGGCAGACAATGTTCGGAAGCCAAGCCTTTGGTGGATCCAGTAATTTGGATGTGACTCAAAGTGATTCCGCCCAGGATATCAAAAGCGCACAAGAGAGTGGTGCAGAAAAGGATGTGACAACGCAGCAGAATGGGATAAAGACGGAGGTAAGCTCTCGTATATTTGGGTTGTCCCATAATTTCTGTCCGAATTTCGACACTTTCTTCTCATCGAGTTTTATCTTTCTCAAAAACCAATTGATCAAAAATATAACCATTATCATAATCACGATATGCATCCATTTGCCAGGGAACCTTTGGATGCTTTCCTCCTAGAATGGGTGAAGCTATGAGCTGAAGAATTCAGCAAGGTCGTTTTTGGAGTGGTTGTATTTAGTGACTTTTTTCTCTCGCCGCTGCTGCCTCAAGGCACTGTGAAGGGATAGCCCGATGGAGTGATGCCAGGGCTATACGATGGACATGGTATCGTGGTCCAGCCAGTCAGAACGTAGCGAGTTATCTTTGCAATGTGAGGTCGAGCGTCTATTCGGAAAAGGGGATTTTGGGACGTTTAGGACGGTTTTCTCCCACTACTGCGGCCAACCCGGGAGCTGTTCCACGATGGCATTCGCAATACTTGTCCGCATATAGCAAAACGACTGTGAAAACGGAAGACCCACTCAATCTAACAAATCAAAAGCAATATTCTCTGACCACGGAGTTTGGGCTTTTGTTGAGCTGGTGAGCCCTGGCTGCGAGGTAGCCATCAGGCGTGCTGCGTGTTGTTGTCGTAGTGAACTCATGACTCATCCCACTAGTGATCAACTAGGGAACGCTCTGCTAATGAGGTCACAGAATGAAATTCCCCAGAGGGTCAGATCTGCTTAGGTGTTGGGTTCGATGATATTGGTTTCCAAGGCTTTATTCTGCTACGCCACTCATCTTGATGGCGTGTGCTGGTGCATCGACTACGCCCGGGTGTCTGCTACAATACCCAAGCCGTGGCCAAAGGGACCTCAGTGAAAATGACTGGAGGCCCAGGATGAAGCTGGTTTTACAGCTCGTATTGTCTCTGCCATTGTGAACGAACTCTAGCTCAGTGACCGATCAGTAGCAGACTGAACCAAACAAGTGCTGATTTTCTCTAGTGTCCTCCTTGCAAAAGCGTTTAGTTGAGGATCATAAAGCAAAATCGTTCGTTACTGTCACTGATCGGTGACGTCGGTAGAAGTGGTTCACCCCGACTGCGTCTTGCTGGTTCTTTCATTAAGGGGACTTTGGTGCAGGGATTCAATACTCAACTGTGGTACATTTTTTTCTTCGGGGAGGGATCATATTCAACTTTGACAGAAGGCGTTTGGTTCCTCACCGAGCTTCTCCTAAAATGATTAGGCACACGCGCGCGGTGCTATTGCTCCGAAATGCACCTTCCTGAAGTAGACTATTCATTCGGGACGATATGATCTGTGAATACATCAGCCGATCTTGTTAGGTCGTCTGGGTAAATTTTACTGAAAACTGGGCTCAACGCTCGATGCTGTTCTTACATTCTGAAGCAAATATCGGCATGGTTAATAGTCATGGAGACCATGGAGGTACTTTTTACATCGTGCCGAGTAGGTCTTGGTCGTCGGAATTTTGCCCATGGAAGTGTGATGAGCGATTTTCCAGCGCTCACCAAACGTCCATGTGACTTCACTTTCGATTTTGTTGTTTTATTTCCCTCGGACGGCGTTTGTTTCGTATAGGAGGTCAATTTTCAAGGACCATTTTTTTGGGTGATCGAATTTACTTGCTTGGAATGTGGAGGGGACGCGAGAGATTCACCGCTATTTTGATTCGATACATCACGATTTTCAACCAAGTTCGTATTTAACCTGAGGTTCGGATTTATTTCTGCTCCGATCGCCAGTGGCATTTGAATGTGTTCGTGTGAATGTCTGTTGAATTTGAATGTCTTTTGAATTATTATTGCAATGTATTGTGGGGGACAGCTGATGGCAAGTGTTTTCTTCAATGATCCTGACTAATTGAGTACAATTTACCCGACAACAAAGGGAATGGATGGTGTCCGATGGACGGATTTCGTCCTAACCGTTAGCGCGTGTATAAGCGGTGTATTGTACCTGATAACGATTCCCGTTTACATTATGTGAGTTAACTGTTGTTGTATTATTTTGGAGTGTGTTGGTTTGGCATCATTCGATTTATAGGGGGTCATGTAGGGTAGGATCTCACGAACCTTGTTACTAACTTTCTTCGAACCTTTCACTACCTTTTCTCTGGATTTTTTATGTCAGGTTACTCATTTCTTCGTTGTTTTTCAGAACACGGCAGCTGATGTTCCATCATCGTCCAAGTCTTTATTCGGAACATCGCATCTTCTTCGCGATTAGCCAAAACGGGCGCGGTACCGGAATCGTCGACAACTCCAGAAGATAGGGAATCTCCTGATATACCGTCATCGTCTAAGGAGACGATTGTTCGATCACCCGAAGATGAAGAGATCAGGCAAAGGAGACTGAAGAGGTAAAGAAGCTTTTAACAAATTCGTTGTGGCTAAACAAACCGCTTCCTGAAGTAAAGTGAAACTTGATTCAGGTTCGCGGAAGCTGGGAGTAGCTCTGAGGATCGCTAGTCGTGTATAGCGGCGTGTGGTTATTGTGATCATAATTGGTTTTAATCATGTCTATTCGCTTGCGATTATGTGTCAGTGCGGGATATATTGGAAATGTGGAATGTAAAATAATTTTTATTTTATATAGCTATTTGAACACGATTGCAGGCGACTTGGATGAAATACTACATTTTCGGAACGGTTTGGACATTCGCGTAGCTAGTTGAGCTTTCTTCTATTCTCGCCGCAGATGACGATGTCAAGAAAGCTTGTTCAATTCGGAATTAAGTGTTCTAAGGTTGATCGGCCCTCAGTGGCTAAGCCTTTTCGGGGAAGGAACTGTCGATTGGGTGAGCCAATTACAGTGTACCAAAGGTTGGAGTGTGTGGGGTCAAGTCATGGTCGTTTCAAAGACTCGTTCAGTAGCCGTAAACAGTTAATTCAGCAATGAATTGGATAAGCAGCAATTGTGTCATTGCCTTCACGTTGCCCAGAACGACTGTAAAGGATTAGACAATATAAATGTAACAATTGCTAATCTGCGGACACCCCCCTGTGTCGTAAAGTTTCTCGATAGGACTTTTTTAGAATTAACCTAACAAGAAAAGGAAAAAGCCCTTTCGGTTCACGCTGATCGAGATCTTTCTTACTTGAATTTTCGGTTTTAGGGAAACATTCGGCCCAGTTCGAAAGCCATCACCACACAGCAGGTTTCAAATGCTATGTCTTGGATAATTGGTCAATGGGTCGACCTATTCATTTGTACGGGCATGATGCACCATTGTTCAAGATATCAGACTTAGTCTGACGATCAAGAACTTACGATTCTTAATTTTGTATACAATGCCTAATAGTTTAAATAAAAAAAAATCTGGAAGCTAGTTCGTGGACATTTCTGCGACACTAAACACGGACAAAAATTCTTTGATTATTAATATTTGAGAGCAATGGATGCATTGAGCTTTTACATCGGTAGCTTGTCAGCTTCAGCCAGGAGTCGAGAAGAGTACATTGATTTTATACCATGTAAGTTATAATATCAAAAATAGGTAATCAAGGAATACGTTTGAACTCGTAACATGACGATGGATAAACCTCTAAATAATGACAGTTCACGGTGAAGAAAGTACATACATACGATACCGAGGACTGCTCAAAAAGTACTGTTTCTGTGCCACACGTCGTTGAGATCAGAAAATGTTGGGCAATCTGTCAGACTGAGACTCAGTTAGACCTAAAGTCTATAGAATGGCTGTGCTAACAGGTTAGTCTTCAGAAATCCTGGCTTGTTTTTGCACTTTTTTGGGAACGATGTGTAGTGAGAATTTACTGATCCACGAATGAATTCATTACACAAAGAAAGTAATGAGGAATGGTGATCGGCAGCACCGGTTCCCCATCTGCTTTTGTTCGGGGCACGGTAATATGCAACGTCAAGGACGCGCACATGGTACAGATGGCCGCTGACAATCGCATAGTCTGTCGGTATGCGCTGCGTATTCATGTTTTCAGATGCAAAGCTGAATCAATGAGTAAACGGGTCACACGACAACGACGAGACGAGGAAGAATGTGCACGGCGCTGCAGACTAGCACAGATAAAAACCATCGGGCTGTACTGCCGGCCTAACATGTGCCAAAGCAGGTAGTACTCGCTTTGAGACACGATAGACTCGCACTGCACGCCGCGACAGGACACATGTGACCCGTGAAGTATCGAACGGCATCCTCCCGAGCAGCAGTTGGCTGTGATTCGATCTACAGATCACGGATCACGAGGCAACTGCCGGTCGGGCGACAGCCGGGTACAGACGGCGTTGCAGCAGTGACAGACGATTCAGATGAAGTCGACAGAAGTAAGTTGCAGGATAATCAGTGAGAGTCGAAGCAGCAATAGAGGTGTGGTCTCGGCTGAGTAGGGATCTAGTCACGTGACAGGCCACCGGGACTAAGACCCAGCCGGGGCCAAGACACCGAGTCGAATGGCCATCGTTGCGGACAGCCACCGCGGCCGCCATGGCACCGCCTTTCGCGCGCGCGCCAAATTTAAATCGCCGCTAGGCAGTACGCTACTGACGGAGGCACAGACATTCTGACAGCTTTTCTCCTGTAAATATGCCCCGCCCATTTCGGCTGGACGCTGGCCAATCTGCACGTCCAATGACGTCGTAAGACGGTATCGATCGAATTGGTGTTGTGACATTGGCGGAGCCCCGAGGTGAATGGTCAACCGGTCGATTAAAATCTCCGAAAAGTGCTAATTCTTCACGGTTCTTGGTTCGTTTCACTAATCGTCATTGATGTTGACATTTACGACAAGTTCAATTCCTTCGGCAGCGGCATTGCCCCGTGAAAAATTGTTCAATTATTTCTTATCCTCTAATTTACTTACAAGAATTTCTAAAGAAACCTTTTCGTGCTATCCAGAGAGTTCTCAGAGCCCTGCATAAAACTCTCCGAGAAACTCTTTCCCCTATGAAAATTATTCACGGAATAGTTTTCGTTGGCGTTTTTGCGTAGTCGCAGTTTGGCAGCCGTCCAAGCGGGGAAAAAAACCGACTGTCGTTAAAGGAGAGGGTTGCCATACGCATTGAGAGTCGATTGCGCAATTAATTCTACGTCATTGGTTCCTACCTACCGTTACGGGGGTTCCGTTTTTGGCACCGTTCCAACTGTTCAATTCTCAGGTTCGATATTCCGATGGTTTTGGTAGACGCTTGGAATGTTTTGCGCGCTTGATCGATTCGTCAGGGGAAAGGTCCCGTGTGCTTGGTGACATTTGCTCCTTGCCGTAGTGCATCTGTGGCGACAGATATGCTAACGAGACGACGACCAAATCATCTGCGATCGATCGATCGATCGCCATCGTTGTCGTTGTGAAGCGAGGAGGAGAAGAAGAGGATCAAGACGACGACTGCCTGTCCGTCCATCGACGGTGGGAATGATCCGTTTCGAGAGACGAGTTTCGCATCTGTAAATTACCACCCGCTGTGGGACCCATGCAAGCAGACAGGAGACGCGCAGACAAGGCGCAGATGCCCCCGACCGCCAATCGTCGCGGGCTACAACGACCGACGACCGACCGACCGACCGACGGCAAAAGTACACCACAATAAATCCCACTGTCGCACCCCTCATCTCCTTTGTTAACAGCGACATTGCTCGCGCCCTCAACACATGGGGATGCTATTCGTCAGAAATACGATAACCTGACGCTCTTCATAGTTTGGTAATAAGGCAGCAAAAGCGCCGAACCCGTTTGAAAAATCGGCGCAATGTGGCTCGGGGGGGGGGCAGTCGCCGCGCGCGATCTCTGCGTTTTTCTGTGCAAGCATTTCCTCTTCGCTAAATCGGGACTAAGCTCGTCATCGCGCCCTTGGCAGGGTCAGACCGTCATTCGAAATTTTTCGGTTTTCGGCGACCCCCCCGCCGAGAGGGTCCAGTTGCGACTCAATACACCCACTTTTCCCCCAAAAACGGCAGGTCGAGCGGGGGGGGGTATACAACCAGTGAAACGGCAACTTTTTTCGCACGCACCTATGCCCTGCGCCCCTGATCACCAAAGCGCGCAATGCGACCAATGCGACCCCTCTCCCCTCCCAGAACACAAATGCGACCCCCCCCCGTTCGAACAGTTCGAACGGACGGTTGACCCTGCCCTGTATCCTGGAGTTCCTCCTCCCTGCCCGAGGCTTAGTCCCGATTTAGCGAAGAGGAAATGCTTACACAGAAAAACGCAGAGATCGCGCGCGGCGACTGGCCCCTCCGAGCCACATTGCGCCGGAAAATCTTCCCAAGGCCCGGGCGATCTCTGCGGTATCGCCAGCGCAATTCTGTCTCTTGACAGTCCTACTCTCAGGAGAATCTCAGTTCTTCCGCTCTACACAAGTGCACTGTCAGAGAGATTAGGTTGGCTGAGGGAATTTTAGAAAAAGTGAGCTCAAGAGAAGGATGAAATTCTGGGTGCTGGTCGTCTTCTCGGATTCCGCCACGCATTAGGTTCTCGTTCAGTGTCGAGGAGACTAATGAATGCATACACTTCCTTGACAATGACCCGCGTAGGACAACCGAAGTTCTGGGGCTGTATTCAGTCCTTCCCTTAGGGAGATGCGTCCCACTCCTCTGATTCAATCTTCCTCCAGCTTTGGGGGAGACAAAAAATGGGTTGCGTCATAGGACCGTCATACCTCTGTGTTCCTTTCTGCCAGACAGTTAGGGACCTGAGGGGATGCGCTGCTCTAACGCTCGCCTATAACGCAACCCCTGTCTCCCCAAAGCTGGGGAGGATTGAATCAGAGGAGGGGACGCATCTTCTTGGGGGAAGGATGAATACGGCCCCTGACGTTCAATCGTCCACCAAGGTCCGTCACCAGAGCTGCATCACTGAAGCCAGGGGTTGTGCTGGGGCTCACTTCACATTGGCTTATGCTTAAGCCTATGGCTTGAGCTTGGGCTTAGTCGTAGCTTACTACAAGCAAATGAGTGGTGCTCTAATTTTAGGTGACTTGACCTGAGGAGGAGAACTGAAACACACACCGAAGTTCATGTACTCCTTTTTATCCTCGCAGGGAAATCAGGTGCTCGGGGAATAAATTTCGCTGAAGATGGTTTCATCCGATTTCGAAAAACCACCGTTCGAATCGCCTCTTCGCCCTATGATCGCTGTTGTACCTCTATCGAAAGACCTATGGAGCGAGGACAGCTCAATTCGAATCGAGTTTCCCCTAAAATGCTTTATTGCGAATCTTGGTGTTGTCGCAGTAATCCTTAAGCTGCCGCT